GTACGTGTACAGACACCATGACTAGTAGGCATTACAGTTTAGTTTATTTTCTATTAAATGAAAATGATTAAATATGAATAATCTATTGTAATATAAGTTTCTAAATAAAACAATTCTTTTGTGCATTGGATTTTAATTTATTTAAGAAATGAAACTATTAGATAGGTTTCCTACACCAGACCGTCAGTTCTCGCCTTAGTAATTCCAAGTTACTGGACCAGGTCGTGATAATAGTGGGCAAAATTCTGTTATTTCAGTGTATTGATTTTGATACAGAGGATACAAATGTAAATGATAAAGAGGTAAAAGATGTTGATCATCAAGATCAGGTGCCTTCAACACATACAGATCCTCCATCCAGTGGGCTAGCGCTCCCATTGAGACTTTTACTCGGATCATTTTGGGCTCCGAAAATTAATGATCGCTCTCCAGGACAACTCTCCTCGTTTTGTTTTATTTTTGTTTTTATTTTGAAAAAGAATAAGAGAGTCAAATTTTCAAAAAAAAAAATTTGATTGTAGATAAGACATAACACAGAGATTTCACCCTCATTTTGTGAAGACTTTTTGATATGGGGAGCGAGGTTTCCCATAAGCACAAACCCCTATGATTAATTACCCCACCCGATAACGGGAGAGCACTTTCGATTAAAATCAACCATTAAGAATTGAGTATTCAACATATAATATCAGCAAAATTAGGATTTAAATTATAGAATTCACCAATTGAAGCTTAAAGCAGATAGTGGGAGAATGAAGACGAAACCAGATCAATATCCCATGGTTCTGTCATCCTGATCATTGTAGTCCCTGATCTACTTAGTCAGAGGCGATGGTCGACCAACCTGACAGAAGTATTTTTGTTAGCAATCATGGGTTGCGTCATCCAAGATATACTTATAGATCTAGAGTGGATATTTGTCTAAAGAAATAATTTTGTATACAACCTGTCAGAAGGATACCTTGTGTATATGAGCAACATTCTCTTTTCTCTTTTACTATTCAGAAAAAATCACATTTTGCACATGCTTAAAGCCATAATTTTGTAAACCATTTGTACATTTTTGTTTTAGTAATGCAGAATGTATATTTCAAAGAAATAACATCATTAGTAAGAATTCCTTTTAGTTTTTGTTTGAATTGTTTGTTATGAACTAATAACAATTTTTTGATAATAAACCATTTAATTTACAATAATAAAATCAATATTTCAGTGCTTTGATTAAATCATTGTGAACTTTCTTAACTTGTAATAAAATACGTTCAAATCAACCTAGACTTCTAGATCAGGCCATATGAGTTGAGGTTAAATCACACCATCATATACGTTTAACTTGGCCTTGATTTCTAGGTTATGCCATATGAGTTGAGGTCAGGTCCCACCGCCACATTTATGTTGTCCAGGTATACTATCTGCAAGACCAGGGCAAACTGCATAACCTAAATAATGATTTTACCTAGTTACTTATATATGCAATTTTGCTAATTAAAAAAAAAACAGAATTTTAGGAGATGATAAAATTTAAAGTAAAGTTGAGCTGGACAGTTTTGGCATTGGCCATGTTCTGAGAGGAAATAAATGGCTCAAGTTAAGGTGAGTTAGAAATGAAAATGCTAAGCTTATTAATTGAAATAGCAGCAAGAACAAACTTTAATGGAGACCGGAATCAAACACATGCTAAATACTAGCTCCAATACTTGTTGCTATTATGTTAGTGATGTGGGAGCATATACTGCAATCCCGTTTCTGCAAGGTCCAATGGAGTGCGGATTCCGCAAAATGCGGATCCCATGATGGCAGGAACACTGGCCGGAGACTTATCTTTTTTTATTTTTTTCTATTTTCGGCAAGTTTCCTTCTCTTTTTTTCTTTTATAGTTTTTTTTTCCTAGTCTCTATTTCTAAGTAAAGTTTGTACTTTTGGAGGGGGGTGTTATTTATATATTATTTTCTAATTTAGGGGACTTTTGATGATTGCTGTTAGTTTGGAGACGTCGTTCTCTGTTTAATTATCTTTGGAGTATTGTATCATTTAACTTTGCAAGTGTTGCAGTTGTATCTTGTTTAGGAAACGTACCTCACAAATTCAGAGCCCTCTTTGTAATTATCAGCTGGGACAGCCACCAAACAATGCTTATCCCCATCCAAATGCCATCGATCTCGCCTATTATGTTCCCCTTGTCAATCCACAACCACATCTCCGCAAAACTTGCGTCCTAAACACCTTTTAAGAGCTCTAAAATGCTATCATCTAGTATCAGAGCTTCATCACTTGTAGCAACAAGATCTAGCAATAAAAGAGTAAACCCCTACAAAGGTATCATCTAATATCAGAACCCACCAAGCCTAAGATTTTTCTAGATTTTTGTCTTTCTTGTCTCAATAAAAAATTCCAAAAAATTTTCACCATACCTAAAACAATTCCTAGCCTTAACCCTAAATCTTCAAAATCCAACTCTTCTACCATCATTAAACTTCACCCCAGCACCTACACCAAAACCTAAGCCCCCGCAACCTTTGATTTGCCATTCTATATCCGTCAAAACCTTGATCGAGAAAAAGGCACAATGTCATCTAAGAAAAATCCTCAAAGAGGTGTCCAGAAACTTACTATAGAGGATATGCAGTGAAAAATCTTCTAGCTATAGTAGAGGCTTGCTGCCTTTGAGAGAAGACGATCAAGTGAGGTCGCTCATAGCCATAACGGTGACTCGTCAGATCGAGCGAAGGAAGTGAATCCCTTCCATCAAATAATTTCCATGCAGAGGACCACTACCTCGATAATTTGGCATAGAATATCAGATAAGTCAGGATTTTGAAGTAAAAATGGATTTACTAAGTTTCGTCGGTCTCATGGATCCTGATGAGTTTATCGATTAGCTTCAAATAGCAGAGTAATCTTTTTAGTATAAGAATTTTTCTTAAGACAAGAGAGTTAAATTGGCAGTCATCAAACTCAGGAAAAGTATTTCATTATGGTGAGAGAACTTGAAACTTATTTGACAACGAGAAGGAAAGAATAAGATCACCACATTGTCTAAAATGAAAAGAGAGATACTTCACAAATACCTTCCCCACATTAGCGACAATACATGTTCATAAAACTCCACAGCCTGCGTCAGAGATATTCTTTTGTGGAGTACACAACAGAATTCGATAACTTATGCAAAAATGTGAGTTGGTTGAACCATAGGAGCACACAGAGGCAAGATATGTTGAAGGGTTGAGGTCATCGATTAAGAATGAGGTGCAACTAAGGGTGTAAATAAGTCGAGTCGACCTCGAGCCACCCTCTGCTTGAACTTGAGCTTGATTAATTTTAACCAGTACAAGCTTGAGCTCAAGCTTAAGACTATGAGTTTGAGTCAGCTCATTAATCGGCTTCTTATTATAAAAGAGAGAAAATATTATTAATTTAATGTATTGTTATAAAATGACAAATAAAATGAGCAATTATGAGAGAAATATAAGAAACCACTTCATAGAAAATAAAAAATGTCAATTTTTAATTAATACTTTAAAGATAAAGTCTTCAAATTTAATATATTTTGAGTATATTTTATATTAAGATTTTTTTAAATGAGCTGGCTCAAGAGCTAATGAGTCGAGTCGGGGCTAGCTTGAGCTTGGCTTGTTAGCTCATCGAGCTCAAATCACGATCCACTTATCAAGTTGAGCTCGAGCCGGCTCATGACTCGGCTTAAATCACTTACACTCCTAGGTGCAGTTGCAACCATATTGATCCCTACTCAATGTTCAGACCTTAGCTTTGAAGGTGAAGAAACAATAACGACACCAAGTGATTGTCATACCTTTCAAGCAAAGTTCAATCCCATGATCAGACAACCAAAGTACATCAATGGAGCAACCAATCCAACCCTGCTAGAGAAGAAACCCACACAGAATAAAGAAAAGGAGAAAGTCGCCAATAATCCTAAATCCTTCCCAGCTAGAAAATATTTCAAGTGTCACAACTTTGGTCATGTTGGGACTGAATGTCCAAATAAAAGGGTAATTTTCTTCACTAAGTGGGAAGTAGTTGAAGAAATGAATAGTGACACAAGAGACTAAAGAAGGAGATGACCCAAAAAAAGAGTATTGACTTATAGCCAACAAGAGAGAAACTAATGATTCAAGTCGAGCTTACGAAAAATACTTAAGCGAGACTAACAATGGTTGTTCTAAATAATACTGAGTCTAATGTAATGGGCATTTATACAAAGTTTGAGCATGTGGTGTCACAAACTACCATTTTGCAGGGTTCTGTGACATTATTTCCTATTTTCAACAAGTTTCCTTCTATTCTTCTTTCCTTTCTGGTTTTCTTCATATTTCTCTATCTCTAAGTATGGTTATTACTTGGAGGGCTATTTATATGTTGATATTTCTGGTTTAGAGAACTTTTGATAATTATTATTGTTTTGGGAGATGTTTTATATTTTATGCTCTTCGGAGTGATGTATCATTTTCTTTTGCAATTGGTGTGTTTGTAAATTGCTTAGAAACATGTGGCAGATCCTCCTCGACCTTCATACCGCATTGTTTTCGAGCCCAAATTGCTGTTTTTAGACGGGGCAGCCGTCGAACGACACTTATCCTGGTCCAAACGCCATTAAACTCATTTATTATCTTCCCCCTGTCATTCCACTACCACCTCTCCACAAAGCTACTTCCAAAACATCTTATACGAGCCCTAGAACGGTATCAGTTAGATTATCCTTAATCATGCATGTTTGAAGCAAGTAACAAACCTATGGGAGGTGATTTGCTAGGACAAATTTAATATTTTATAGGTGATTATTGTAGCTAGATTGAGATATAACTTAAATGAAGTATGATCTATTACTTCTACTTAATTTAATTTCATATTTAATGCTCATTATATGATATAATTATAGTTATTAATGGGGTTTAACAGGCAAAATTAAAAATAAATAGCCATAATTTAGCTTTGGTCATGATAGATAATGTAGTCGCCTCCGAAGGAAGAAATTCACATACCTTAATGGAAGCTCCTTTCGATAGACCAAGTCAACTTCAGCGCCCATCCCACGCCATATTGAAGCAAATTCTACAGCAATGTACCTGAGTTGATAATAGTGAGGTAAATACAATACGTTGGAATTCGGAAAGCATTAGAAAGCTAGCTTAAGATGATTTAAAGAAACTAAAAATATTGCAGCATACCCTGCCCCAAGTACCACAACATGTTTGGGTATCTCATCCAAACTCAATGCCTCATCTGAGGTGATCGCCAGTTCCTAAATTTTTTCCCCCAAAAAAACAAGGTTACAAAAATATCAGAACAAAATATAAACAAGAGGACCGAGGTTATGGGCACTATAATGATAATAAGCTCCTTCATGTACGCATAAAAAAAAAAGCTAAAATGATACTAAAAAATGCATCTTCTACCTCATCAGAATCTTTGTGATACCGGGGTTAACTCAAACAACAATAGAAAAACCAGATATTATTGTTGAATTCAAAATAAAGAAATACAAGCACACCAACGAATATAGAAATAACAAACAAACACAGCAAACACAATTAGGATTGTATCCCAAAGGGTGGTGGTCATTATGGGAGGTGAACGTGTGTTAGGTGGCTGCGGTTGGATGGCATGATAGCGGACGTGGGCTGCGGTAGGCTGGCAACAGGAGGGAAAAGTACTGCAGTAGGCAGGTAGGAACTGGGCTGCAGTGGGATGTGTAGGAGGTTGGTGATACCAGTAGGTAAGGTTTCTGGGAAGTGGGCTGCAGTAGTGCTTATGGGCAGCGGGAACAGCAGGGCAGCAGTAATAGAAGAGGGTGAGGACGGCTGGGAAAGTTTAAACAGGCTAGGACGGTGGCGGTAGCAGGCCGGGGAAGGGGTTTGGATCGGCTGGATGGCAGCGACAAACAGCAGCAACTGGCTGTCCGGGGTGGCAGCAAGGTGGAGTGCAAGTTTGGAAGGCAGCAGTAGGGTGGAAAACTGGCTCTAGAAGATGGCAGCAAGTGGGATCGCAAAAAAAAAAAAAAAAAACCAGCAAAGAAGAGCTATTTCCTGCCTAGGGTGGAAAACTGGCTCTAGAAGATGGCAGCAAGCGGGATCGCAAAAAAAAAAATAATAAAATAAAAAAAACCAGCAAAGAAGAGCTATTTCCTGCTGGCGGCAGCAGGTACGGCGACATCGACAGTGGAGGGAAGGATGCGAAGAAAGGGAAAGTTGAGGATGATCACCGCCTAGGAACGAGGTACAATCGGAGTACCACTCGCCCTTAGTACAATCCTAGAAGGGAGAATTGGAGATGCCAATGGTTGTCCCGACAGAAAACACACGCAGGACTGAAAACCTAAAACATGAAAATTAAATATATAACCCTATTAAAAAGAGACGCTAAACCCTATTGGAAGAGTCGGTCTGCTCTCCCAAGTCTAGACTGGTTCGGTCCATGTGACTGGAGACGCGGAAGAGGATCCCGCACCCCCTACGCCTGCGCCAACTGTTCGGGGCTAAGGGAGGTTCGATCTCATTCGGGAAGCTTCTGTTTGCATGTTGAAGGTGACAAAGCTGTTATAATCTCCTGCGATTAAAGGGTCTTTGACTGTATAGATAAGAGCACATGGATCCCACAATCGATTGCACTATCTCCCAAAAAATGTGAGAAGGTTTCTCCACTTGCGAGCAGTCATCCATATCAATCCAATCAATTGGGGGTACACTGTTGAACTGAACTGGGAATTCATGTCAAGTATACCCTACAGGGTCTTACAAATATAGCTCAAGGTTTTTTTTATCCCAATCAGATTTGAGGACAGACTGAACTCCCTCAAATGGTGGTGATTCTTACGGTAAGCTATTGAACATGATGTCTTGATATGTTTTTTGTAGTGACTGCTGAGTGTCTGGAATCGGCTCATTTGTCTCATTATCCTCAATCATCACCAAAAATTGACCTTGTTGGTGCTTCTCTGAAAGCAATAAAACATGTAACCTCAGACTTCGCAGAAATTAAGAGAACTATGTGGTTTCCATCCTTGGAGAATGACTAGGTGTTCTTGAATCCACCAGGCTGAGTTCTACAATCAAAGTGTTATAGCCTCTCCAACCGAATGTGACAGACATTCATGGGCACCACGTCGCACCACACCTGATCCTGCAACTGCTTCTCAATCGAGAACTCTGTAAGGCACTTTCTGTCAATGTTGACCCCATTCTCCTTCTTCAACTACGTCATAGAATATGGTTTGAAATGCCTCTGAGTCATGAGGATCAACTTGTTCACCATCTATATATATGTCACATTTTTGTTGTTGCCTTCATCGATGATGAGGTCGTACACAGTGCGATGGGCATGGAATTGTTGGGATGAAACTACTGTTGCTTCCTCATAGCCTCAGTCTGAAGAACCCATCGAACCAAAAGCATCTCGCCCTCATTCGATGGAAGCTGATACTCCTCACCTTGTTCTTTAGTTGCCTCTTTGTCGCACACTTCCTCCACAACACCCTACTCGGGGAAGGACACAACTCAGCTTGTCGGACAACTGAAATCAAGTGTCTATAACCATGACATCTGAAGCATTTACTGGCTGGGACTGTATTAGGAGTGCTGCTCTCCACAAGCTTCTTCTCAATCTGGGCAGTTCTATCATTCTCCTGGCCAATCACCTCAACTTTCTTAGGCGTGCTCTTATTGATGCCTCCAACTGTGGTAACTGTCTGAATGGAGACGGTTGCCTGTTCCACCTTTGTTATCTCTCCACTTTCATTGCTAATGTCTGAACGTCACTTAGCGTCCCATAAGCTTAAAGCTGGACCACATTGCTAATGAAGGGCTTCAGACCTCCTAAGTAATTGACTATCGAATGCTCCACTTTCTCAGTCATCTCACATTTCAAATTAAGCTGCATATATTTCATTGTATACTCCTCCACTGATAGTTCTCTCTGCTGCGGGTAGTGGAGCTTCAAGAAAATATCCTGACGGTGGTGTGGGGATAGGTATTGTTGCTACATTTCTTTTTTCAGTTCTCCCATATAATGATCTTATCCCGAATTTCTCTCTTCCTCTCCTTCAAATTCTCCAACCACAATAATGAGATTCTCTTCAATTTGATGGTAGCGAGCTTCACTTTTCTGTCAACTAATAAATCCTTGTATTCAAAGATCCTCTCGACAAGCTACAACAACTAAATAAAGTCATCCGGATTCATTCTTCTCTCGAAATCTTGTATATCCATTTTCACTCATGAGTCTCTATAATCCCCTAAATAGACTTCCTTTCTCAACCTCCTTTGATATTGAATCTCAAAGCTTCGTGGTCGACCCTCATCTTCATTGAGATCATCTTTACAGAAGGGATTCATATGTTCTTCTCGCTCTCCTCGAACCTCACTATCACGGTTGGTTGTGACCTCACCATAGGTCCTCTTCTCAATTTCATCGAGCCGTTGTAACACTCAGCTAAGTTGTCGTTGTATCTCTTCCATAGTAAAATCATGATAAACGTTTGGCACGTATCTCCTCGATGGCATAATTATAGTTTGGATGTGGGTAGGTGGGCATCAAGCTGAGAGTCTCCGGCGACTCCGACATTTAGGGGGTTTAAAGTGGGGGAAGAAAAATTTTGGAAGCTGGTTTTGGTAACCCTAGGATAAGACTAGGGTTTGGCTAGTTGTGATGCCAACTAAAACCGAAGTTAACACACACAACGATTGAAAAATCAAATATTATTACTGAATTCAAATCAGAGAAATACAATTACACCAACGGAAATAGAAATAACAAACATATACAACACAAACATAACTAGGGTGTATCCAAAAGGTTGTGGTCATTTTGCAAGGTGGAGGTGTGTTAGGTAGCTGCGGTTGGATAGCATGATGGCAGAAGTGGGCTGCGGTGGGCTGGCAACCAAAGGGAAAAGTGTTGTGGTAGGGAGGCAGGAATTGGGCTGCGGTGAGATGTGTAGGAGGGTGGCAATTTCAGTAGGTAAGGTTTATAGGAGGTGGATGAAGGGCGGTAGGCCGGTAGTGCTTATGAGGGGCGGGAGCAACAAGGCAGCGGTAATAGAAGATGCTATGGACGGCTCTAAAGGTTGGAACAGACAAGGGCAGCAAGGCTTTGCTGTCCAGGTGGCAGCAGCAGGCCAGGAAAGGGTTGGGGTCGGCTGGAAGGCGTTGACAAGCAGCAGCATTTGGCTGTCTGGGGAGGCAGCAAGGTGGAGCGCAAGCCAGGAAGGCGGCGTAATGTGGAAGACTGGTTCTGGAAGTTGGCAGCAAAATGGGACTAAAAAAAACAGGCAAGGAGGGTTGTTTCCCGGCGGCTGCAGCAGGTACGGTGACAGCGACAGCAGAGGGAAGAATGCGGATGAAAGGGAAGTTGAAAATAACAACCGCCTCGAAACGAGATACAGCCGGAGCACCACTTACCCATGGACACAACCCTAGAAGGGAGAATCAGAGACACCGATGACTGTCCCAACAGACAACACATGAAGAATTGAAAGCCTAAAACACGAAAATCAAATATATAAACCCAAGATAACTAAGGCGTGTCCCCACTGTTGAAAGAGGCGCCAAACCCTATTGAAAGAGCCGGTCAGTTCTCATAAGTCTGGACCGGTTCGGTCCAGGCGACGGGGAACGCAAAAGAGGATCCTGCGCCCCTTACGCCAATGTCTAACAATAAGCCTAACCAGTTAAATAAAACAAAAACAAAAAAAAATGCAAATTCCATCCTGTAGAGTATGAAATGTCAAATATGGCAAATAGATTATCATTCAGAATATCAAGCATTGGCAAAGAAATGATCTAATGCTCAAAATCAAGAGATTTATGCTAACTTCAAATGCAGTTTCCAATTCCAAGTAGAATATTCAAATTTTATAGCAGATGAAGCAACATATCCCTGGACATGTTCCTAATCTATACAACTTATATAAAGCTGTTCTAACATCCTGCCTACATCTGGACATCAATGGGCCTTAAACCAGGATAATAGCACACAGCAACATGGATGCATATTCAGTAAAATAATTTGCCTTAAAGGTAACTATAGTAGATAAATAGTTGACCCATAATACATAACAATACAACATCTTAATAATCATAACGCTGATAAACAGAACCACAAATATCCTAAATAATTTGTTTCGTTCTATGTTTTCCAAAATTTCTTCTTTGTTAGCTTTGCCAATGATCACATCTTTTACAAGGATTCTGCATGTTTCTTTTACACCTTTCTGAGAATTGCCAGTGGTTCCCTGCTTCTCATTGGCAATACAAATTAAGACTATTCTTGGTATGTGATTCAGAAAATAAGAGAGAAAAAGAATACAGCGAAGTAATAATTGTCATACAAACCTGACCAGGTATATTAACACGCTGAGCACGACTCCCAGTTGCAATCAAGATATGTTTAGCCGAAAACTGTTGCTTTGAACCATCCGGCTGAATCAACTCAACTCTGTTAACACTGACAAGCTTGCCCTCCCCCTCCAAGATGGTCACTCCAGCACTGGATAATAACCGCTTGTAAACACCATTTAGTCTTACAATTTCTTGGGTCTGCGGACAAAAAAAAGGCAGCCAATAAATCCTGCACTATGTAGCATCGATATGACAACAGGGCATGGACATAAAATCAATATTTTGAACCGAAGGATATTAATACACACACTCTCTCTCTCTCTCTCCAACTAAACACAAACAAAATTTATTTAACCATAACCATGTGCCCACAGGGGAATGTGAAAACACATAGAACCATGTGCATATATTTACTAAAGTTAGTTTAAAACTAAAAAAAACCAACGATGCGTCTAAGCTAATACACATGGGATGTCTTTACGTGCCCCAGACACCACCCATAAAACAACTTTAGCGGCATGGCCGGAATACATGCTTTCAATAAGCCCTTAGTAGGAATGAGGAATGGAAAAGTATGTCAAATTTTACTAAAAATTTGTTAACACAAAATATAAGCTCACAAAAAATACAAACTAAAAATTGTTTCCTCATTTATTCCAAATATTAAATATTTCTGAGTTTCATTGTGACATTTGTGAATTGGCAAAACATACCCGTGTATCTTTTCCTATTAGCAATAAAAGAAGTTCTCATCCTTTTCATCTGATTCATAGTGACATATGGGATCCTTCCACTATACCTAATGTTTCTGGGGCTCGTTGGTTTGTATCCTTAATTGATGATTGCACCCGGGTTACATGGCTCTTCCTTCTTAAACAAAAATCTGATGTTAGCACAGTTATACCTAACTTCCATTCAATGGTTCAAAATCAATTTGGGGTCAAAATAAAAAGCTTTAGAACAGACAATGCTAAAGATTACTTCAATCAAATTCTTTCACCTTATTTTCAATCACAGGGGATTATCCATGACTCATCATGTGTGGACACACCCCAACAAAATGGGGTAGCTGAAAGAAATAATTGGCATTTACTCAACACCATCCGAGCCTTACTCTTTCAAGAGAATGTTCCTAAGTCCTACTGGGGAGAAGTCGTTCTTACTGCCGCACATATGATCAATAGACTTCCCTCACGTATATATGATCAATAGTCTTCCCTCCCGTGTGTTAGAAAACAAAAGCCCCATAGAGGTCCTAAATAGCTTCTACCCTCACTTCAGAACCTCAAATGGCCTCACTCCCAGGGTATTTGGGTGTATTGCCTTTGTTCATGTCCACAAACAACATAGAAGGAAGCTAGATCCCAGAGCCATCAAATGTGTTTTCCTAGGTTACTCCTCCACTCAAAAGGGATATAAGTGTTACAATCCCTCTACCAGAAAATTTTACATCTCTGCAGATGTCACTTTCAAAGAAAATAAATCCTTCTTTTCCAAGTCCTCTCTTCAGGGGGAGATTTCCATGATGGAAGATAGTACTTGTGAGTCATTTGAACCACTTAAAACCCTTGACCTTCCACATGTGCCAGCCCGTGTTGTTGAACCTACATCAAACTCTCATCCTATCCCATCTGAATCTAAGTCCTCTGAACCAATCACATCTGAGTCACTTGATCCTGAACCCTTACCATCTCCTACTCCAACCAGTGTCACTCACGATTTCCCGAGATTTCCTCACGTGTATTCAAGGAGAAAGGCCGTTCCTGAATTGACACAAGTCCAATAATCTAATCCCCTCTATCCACTATCTCACTATGTATCTCTCAA